TTGCCATTAAATTTTGCACTGATTACCATCTTCAAATCAGATTCAGCCCTAATTTTAGCACGACAAATTGACTCTCGATCCCGTAAATTTTGCTATTAGGGTCCCGGAAAAGTCCGGCTACTATGCCAGATGTAGCCTCCGAGCATGAAGGGGAGCAGTAGAGAAAATAGGTGAACTTATCAAACATTGAGCCAGGAGAGGAGTTGATCAGGTAGTCGCGCGATGATTCAGCCTGAAAACCGAAAAGTGAAACTTAAAAACCGGAGTCACATTGTGGTAGACGGGCCTGACTCCTCCTTTTTTATCGGTGATAGAGACTGTTCCTTGCCAATACAAGCGAACGTCCGTGTCCCAGGAAGCAATTGAGACGAAGAAGACTCGATCGCTGGGACAATATGTATATTCGCGTTTATACGCATTTAGGCGAATAAACATATTGTCCCAGCGATCGAGTCTTCTTCTCAGACTGTTCCTTCTTCCGAATCTTTCTTCTCCTCTTGCTCGGGGGTTTTGTCGTTCTGCTCTCCGGTAGCCTGAAGCGTCATCATAGATTAGTTCTGTATATCAAGCATTCAAGCAGGAAACCGAAGGTGTTGATGAAAAAAATTATTGAAAACGAAAGTGAGTGGAAAAAATACGTACAAATGGAGTTCGATCTTGTAAAAAAAGCTTAGACTTCCTTGTTCTTATGTAACGGTCACGCTAGGTTTATCCTTCTTTTCAGGAACAGACTCGTTCTTCACCGTATCACTTCCTTCTACTGACGGTCCTTGAGACTTTTGTTGTTCTTGGTCAAGCGCCTGAAGTACCATAGTGACGTAAAACCGCTCACAAATAATCACACACACAGTACGTAAGAATCCGTATTGTACGAAAGTTTATTTTACCAAAATCGAGAACATGCAACTATAACGATTCTTCCGGTTGTGAAAATAACTGACGCTCTCCAGATGCGTCCTCCACTGCACCAGCCTGGTTACTTCCCAGCGCTGAATCACCCGTTGCCTCCACAACCGCCACTGAAATTGAGAAGTACAGAAGCGCATTAAAACAAAAAGGGTCAGGTTGGTCTCTTACACTTATCCTTATCGTCTTTAAACTCCAGGCTCTCCAGTGGGGCTCCGAGATCCGTTCCTATGACAGCCACTAAAAAGACAATTGCTCCGGGTTTCAGAAAAATCGATAATGGCTTAGCAACTAAAAGAGTGCATTAAAACAAAGCATGGGCTTGGTCTCGTACTACACTTAAAACAAAGGTGGAATCCTTAAAAGAACCGAGCCACTTCAAAGCCCGGTGATCGGTGCGGAGGATAAACTGCTTATCTATCAGGAGATGTCTGAACTGACGCATAAAAGTGACAACGGCAAGGAGTTCCCGGCGGAAGGGGCAATAATTCCGTTATGTTCTAGTAAGGGTGCTACTGGCAAAACAAATGGGATGTTCCAGCCCGTCAGCACCGGTCCGTAAAAGTACGGCGCCGATTGCGAACCCGCTAGCGTCCGTGTCAAGGATGAAGGGAGGGGCGTTCTTCTTGACATTGGGGAGCGCCAGGAGAGGATCAGAGCAGAGAGCGTCGCGAAGGTCATCAAAAGCAACGTCATATTCCCTTGTCCAGACAAAAGGGCGGTTTTTCTCCGTAAGTTTATGTAAAGGGGCTGCGATGTGGGAAAATGACGAATGAAACGCCGATAGTATGAGGCAAGACCAAGAAAACTCCGTAACTCTGTCTGGTTGACAGGTTTCGGCCAAGCTCGGA